TTTAAATTTTGAGGAGATCTGTGCGCATGGGTAGTGGAACCCTCCAGAGGTTGGGGTGGGGTGTCCATTCGCTCAGGCATCCCCTCTAGTCACCAGAATGGAGGTGCGCAGACAGCAAGAGACCAACGGACAGATACCAAAAAAAAGAATGTCCACACCTGTATCTCCGAGGTTCTGTCAGGTGTTCGTGGCTGTTTTGATCCTTCTCCCCACTTGGTCTTTCCCAAGATGGTGGCTCCGGGAGTAGCTTAGCATCTTGAATTAGAAAGCAATAGATTTCTTGATTCTGCTACAAATTCCCCTAGCTGTAAGCCTTCTAATCTTGTTGTAACTGTTCCTTTATATGTGGCTAGCACCATCCCCAATCCTGCTTGATCTGGTATTCTGTGTTGTTGATGATGAAGCTCCTCACTGCACATCTACCCAATCTACCATCTTAGCTGTACAGCCTTCATGCTGTATCACTCAAAATCACTTTGGAAGTCAGATCCCATGCTTCATCCATGTCTAGAAGTGGTGAAAGTTTCCAGAAAGTCAGGGTATGGAGTGGCTCAACCTCAGGCTGTTGAACCATGTTTCCTGCCAAAAAGTCTATCATCTGCTGCGATGGAGTAAATCATTAAGGTCTGGAAGGAAGGAATTGTAGAGGTGGGCAAATCTCAAGTCTGTGGGTCAGATAAATTAAGATTGATCAGCAGGTCAGATGGCCAGAAGGTCAGATGACTCCCGGGATCTGCAGGCAATAGATCAGCTCACTGGCTCAAGTCCAAAAAACTGGAGGTCAAATTGAGAGCCAGATACAGGATCCAGACCCAGGAGAAAGCAAGCAAGCTTTGCCCAAGTGTCCAATATGTTGGGAAACTTCCACTATAATGGCAGAGTAGATTCATTGCATAAAACCCACAAAACCTAAAATATTTACTGCCTGGACCTTTACAGAAAAAGTTTGCCAATCCCTGTCCTAATGGGCCTTCCTTATCTCCTTTTCCCTCGTGTATGTTTGTTTTTCCCACATGAAAATCTTTTCAGAAGCTTTACTTTTTCCATTTTCTTCATTCCTTCTGTTATTCCATCATAACTGGTCATAACATAGAAGTAAGATTTTGTTTAGTTTTAGATAGTAGACTTGAATGCCCTAAAGACTGAAAATATCTAAATAGGATATGATAGGTTTCTTTATCAAATACAAAGAACCCAATTGTTAAAGGTGAGATGATAAGATCAGAATCCTTTTCTTGGTCAGTCAGTCTGCCTCAGAAAATTCCTGAGAGAAATAAATTACTGGGACAAGGCCAAGAAATCTATGGCCGTTAAACCCTGTTGTGGCAACTTGGTGAACTGGACCACACCTGTAGAGAGTTTCTTTTGCTTAACCTAAAGCTGAGCTAGCTCCAACCTAGAGTTTTGAACCCAAAGCAAGTGAATATTTTTGCCTTCTTTTCTTCACTGCTGAGTTCACACCAGAACCTAAGAGTTGACCACCTCAGAGACAAGAAAAGGCCAGAAGACAGCATGCTAGCTATTAAGTAGACATGAGCACAACATTCATAAAAAAGCTATGAAATGCTCAATTCTAGCTATTAAAAGCTACTGTAGTTATTATTGTAAAGTGGGGGGTGAGATTAAGATGATAGCCAGGAGACCAAAAATGCCCATCCTTGATCGGCCACCTATCCCTCTCAAAGTTCCCAAGGGAAATTAAATGCACTAAGAATAGTGGGCAGGGAAGGAGCAGTCTTTTTACTCCTTTAACCCTTTGCTCAGCACAAATATGGAAACTGTGACCTCATTAATTGTTCTTGCTCAGAATAATTCATAGCATAGTATCCTACCTTTGAACTGGGAATGAGAGGAGGTAAGTGATAGACTGGGAACTTCTTTTGGCCAGTACCAAACATCAAACTAAGTTGGCTTTGATTTATCCAACCTTATTTATTTTGTGTTGAAATAAGTGGTAAAACCCATTGGGAGCATTTTCAGGCCAGAAGGGCACCACCTAGTGGTTGTGTGTGTGTAAAAACAGGAAGAAGAGATGGAAAAAAAGAGGGAGGCAAACAATTCTGAATGTCCTGTATCAGTGGCCAGCACCTTATATAACCTATGCATTGTTGATTTCATTTTTAATTTTTAAAAATATTTGGAATAGCATTTTACAATCTGATAATAACTTTGTCATCTTTTAATTTATTAAAGTAAAATGTACTCATAGCACTTCTTTAACCCCAGTTAAACTTGTTCATCACTGAAATAAACTTTCACTCAAGTTTCCAGTGTGATTCCTTCTCCTCTGCCAGTAGTATTTCTTCAAATGGTATCAACTCATGTTAATGCTAATATAGGCCAAGAAAAATTAGGTAAATTTATCTCCCAAATAATCATATCCATCCTAAAATCAATATGACACTTTAAAATTGCATGCACCACTGCTCCTCTGCTTTGATAAAAATTTCAGTTTCACTAAAAATGTGTTTATTGACTGCTGATCACAGAGCCAGCACTGGGGATATTGCAAAAAACTTGATTAAGGAGTTTTTAGGACAGTAGTGAGAAATGAGTCCTTGGTGGCACAAATGGTTACATCTTTGACTACTAACCAATAGGTTCAGGGGCCTGGTGTGGCACTGTAGGATAATACTGGACTGCTAATTGCAAGGTCAGAGGTTCAAACCCACCAGCCACTCCTAGGAAACCCTATACACCCCCAACTTGCTCTGAATTGGAATTGACTTGATAGCACTTAACAACAATAACTACCAATAGTTGGTGATTCAAACCCACCCAGCGTCACCTTGGAAGTAAAGCCTGGTGATCTGCTTCTGAAAGTGAACAGATCTGAAAACGTAGTGAGGTCACCATGAGTTGGAATCAACTCAAGGACAACTAATAGCTCCAGGGCAACTAGCAGTAGTGGGAGGTTGACATTAAATACATAATTGTGTGCATGGCTGGAGATAGTGAAACCACTTAGGAGTACATTACAGTAGTTTATGTTTAATGTTTGTCAAATGAAGGGATCCAGGTGTGGGGTAGATGAAAGAGGGGAGGAGTCTCAGCTCACTGTTTCTAGCTTGGGTATTTGGGTAGATAGATGGTGCTAATCTCTAAGATAGATGGCAGAGTAAGGGGAATGGCTTTTGTAAGCGCTAGGAGTTCTGTTTGATAATATAAAGTGAGGTAGCTGTGGACAGGTGGCAGTCTTCAGTAGAGTAGCTGGATGTGTAAATGTAAAAATTAAGAGGCTGTCTGGGTTGCTGGAAAGGGAGGGATTTTAGTGTGATGAGCATATGTTGTTGTTGTTAAGTGCCATCGAATCAGTTCCAACTCATAGTGACCCTTTATAGGATTTCTGAAGCAGTCAGTCATGATGAGAGCAGAAAGCCTCATCTTTCTCTTGTGGTGCGACTGGCGGGCTTGAACTGTCAATCTTGTGGTTTGCTGTCCAGTGCTTATCCTCTATAAGTACCATCAAGTTGATACCGACCCATAGCGAACCTGTATAGGGTTTCCAAGGAGCAGCTGGTGAGCTTGAACCACCGACCTTCCAGTTCAAATGGCTTTACAGTCTGGCTCATTAACCCACAGCACCAAACTAGGAGGCTCCCAAAGTATAAGGGAGCAGAAATACTCATCTTTCATTCACAATCCCTCTGGTAGTTTCGAACTGTTGACCTTGAGATTTGCAGGCGAAATCCTCTATAGATAGTAGTAAACTAGATCTTGATAGTAGATGAGGTCACCCAGATGTAACCAGAGCTAAAATCATTCACACAATATTCATGGGGCAGACAGAGTTCAGAGAGGTACGAGAAAGTAGTGTAGAATTTGAAGGAAAAAAAGTTTGAAGAGAAAGTTTTGATGATACCAAATGCCATACAAAGGCTGAGAAAGATGAGACATAAAGTATCCACTGGATTTGGCAGTTAGAAGATCATTGATGTCCTCTGTCAGAATCAGTTAGGTAAAGTGGTGTATGGGTTGGAGGAAGTGGAGGGCAGAAACACAAGACAGATTGCAATGGGTTGGGAAAGCATGGACGATAAAGAAGTGTGAATAAGATCATAGACTATTCTTTTGTGTATCTTGACTGGAAAAGGAGAAGAACTTGTGTGGTACAAATCATAAACCAAGTACTAACAGAATGTTAGTCCTGGTGTGATGCTGTGGGCTAATACGCTGGGTGGACTACAAAGATGGTTTAAAGGCATACAACTACCACCATTCTGTTGTTAAGTGCCATCAAGTCGGTTCTGAGATTGTAAATCTTTATGGGAGCAGAAAGTCTCATCTTTCTCCCACGGAGCAATGGTAGATATGAACTGAAAGGTTAGCAGCTCAGTTTGTAATCCACTACGCTATGAAAGCTCCTAAAAAAATAGGAGTAGGATAACCTGAGGTGGAGTGGATATTACTGTTGGAACCTAATTGCGTTATGTCCCTACCTGTCTTTCATACAGTCAGGGCTGGTATACACAGAGGATGAATGGCAGAAAGAATGGAATGAGCTGATCAAGCTTGCCTCAAGTGAACCCCGCATGCATCTAGGTACCAATGGAGCCAACTGTGGTGGGTAAGTATGGCTAAGTTGAGGAGCAGAAATAATTTTCCCTGAGTCCCCCAGTGTCTATAGTGTCTAGTGTCTAGCAAGCTCTTTGGTAAAAGGATGTTAGAAGGAAGGGGAGGGGCCATAACAAAAGCACAGAAATGTATGTTCTAGGAACTATAAGTAGTTTAGTATTGCATTTTCATGGTATAAAATGATAGATGAGGCTGGCAATCCATATTTTGTCTGCCATGCTAAGGTTTCTCTTCTACTATGCTAAGGAATTAAAATTGTATCCTATCAAGATTTGGGGAAATTGTGCAGGATAAATGATTTTTTTTCAACAAATAAATTGGCAGTATTGGTCTTTAGGGGTCTCTGGTTTTGTTTTCTTCCCCTCTCCTTTCCTTTATACCTGTCTTTATCTTCCTCCTATAATCTAGGGTGGAGAGTTCAGAGGAGCCTGTATATGAGAGCCTAGAGGAATTCCACGTCTTTGTCCTTGCCCATGTGCTTAGGAGGCCTATAGTTGTCGTGGCAGACACCATGCTGCGGGACTCTGGAGGTGAAGGTGAGTGACCCAGTCAGGTAAGACTTCATTTCACCTCCTACTTTCAGAGTCTTGAGCTAAGCATCAGAAGGGGGATGCAGGAGGGAATAGATGAGGGTGACTTCAAAAAGTTCATGGAAAAATTCCATTATCTTTTCATTCCATCTTCCATGAACTTTTTGAAGCCCCCTTGTATCGATCCTTTGAAAAAGCAAGCTATAAGTCAGGACAATACAGAATTCTCACATGATTCAAAATAAAGCCGTTGGGGTTAATTGACGTGGTTTCCTAGGAAAGAATCATTTAACAGGGACTGGAAATGAAAGGGATGACTCAGCAGATGGGTGAAGAGACTGTAGGCTAGGCGAGGAGCATACCCTCAATAATGGCCTCCTCCCTGGTTTCCGGCAGCATTTGCCCCCATCCCCTTTGGGGGGATCTACCTGCCCTTGGAGGTCCCAGCCAACCAGTGTCACCGCTCTCCTCTGGTGCTCGCCTACGATCAAGCCCACTTTTCTGCACTTGTGTCCATGGAGCAGAAGGACAACACCAAGGAACAAGGTGCTGAGTCAGTGTCTGTGTTTCAGTGTCTTGTCATTTGCTTCATTTTAACTTGAAAAAAATTGAAATAAGAGATAACACAGGAAGAAAGCATTAAGTGACGTGGAAGCCCAGACAGTGCCAACCTAAAAGCAAACCCATTGCTCTCAAGTCATTTCTGACTCAGTGACCCTGTAATAGAGTTTCTGAGTTAGTAGTGCAGCACCTCCCCCACAGTGCCACCATGTGGATAGTATTTCCCTCAGCAGGAAGATAGACCAGTGTTTGTTTTGTAGTTTGTTACTGCAGTGAAAATATACACTACAGAACATTTCTACCACTTCAACAGTTACATAACACTCACCTTGCAGTGACGCTGATTACATCCTTCATGCTGCATAACCCTTATCCCTATCTTTATACTAGGGTTTTTTAAAGAATGGTTGGGGGAAACACAGGAGCCTCACTTCCCTTCTTCCTCTTCTAGAGTAAAGGGCTTATGCATTAGGGTCAGGGACCTTCAAAATGATGCTGCTATATTCTTCTTAATAATGATTTTTTTAATTCCCTAAATACACATTAATTGGCAAGAACATCATTGAGTGTTAGTTGAGTGACTGGTGGGGAGTCATAGAGATTAGTGGCTAAAATTGTATGCTTGGTGATAGGAGAAACCAATCTGTTTGGCATTTAATGCCAAAAGTCATTCAAATGTAAGAATTGAAGCATGACTACAGTTTGAGACTTAGGATATGATTTTTGCCTCTTTTTCAGCCAAGTCCGGCTGTCTGTGTTCAGTGGGCCTCCTCTCTCCTTGAGGTGACTCTTTGATATGACGTATTATTTTTCCTCCCCAGCTGTAATCCCACTTACAGATTCAGAGCATAAGCTGTTGCCCTTGCACTTTGCTGTGGACCCTGGAAAAGGCTGGGAATGGGGCAAAGATGACAGTGACAATGTCCGACTGGCCAGGTAGGTGGGCAGAACCTTTTCATGTATTCTGTGGCTGGGATCACTTCCACATACAACATCTGGCTGATGGGGATTTTCTCCAGCTCAACTCCTTTTTCTTTGAGAAATTGGAAAGATCCAGTAAGTTCCTGTGAGAGAAATAGAACACCAGAATCTTGACTGATTCTTAAGCAGAGAGAGTGTACCTAGTCTTATACATTCCACAATCTCCAAAATGATTAGAAAATTAAGAATGCTCATCAAATGGGACTTCTTCTCCAAGTCACCAAATGAGAGAGAGGGGTTTTAAAAAGTTGACCAAAATGGTCTGCTCCGGGTTTTTGCTTTTCTGGTATTTAAACCAACTGTAAGAAAAATACTGCCCATTTCCTTCTCCCCCAAATCCCCAGCTTGTTTGGCCTTCCTCTTGCCTCCCTCCACAGCTTCGTTATGAAGAATGTATGAATAGCAAAGCTCCTCCCTTCCCTCTTATTCAGTGCCTCCTTCGTTGGGGTCTTGCAACTGACACTCAAAAGGTTTGATTTAAAAATCCAGAATTTGTGGCTTTTTAAAATAAGTTCTCACCTGATTATCAAAAGCTCCTTGTTCTTGTTGTTGTTGTTAAGTGCTGTCGAGTCAGTTCCGACCAGTAGCGACCCTGTACAGGGTTTCCGAGGGTGTAAATCTTTACGGGAGTAGAAAGCCTCATCTTTCTCCCGTGGAGCGACTGGTAGTTTCGAACCGCTGACCTTAAGGTTCGCAGCCCGATTCGTAACCACTACACTACCAGAGCTCCTTATCAAAAGCTCCTGCTAAATAATATTTACAATAAAATAATAATAATGGTTCTGTTTCATATTTTCTAGACACTGTGCTAGGCCCTTTCCAAACACTATGTCTTCACAACCTTACAGGATAGATGGTATTATGTATCCCTATTATAAAGGAGCTCTGTTAGCTTAATGGTTACGAATTGGGCTGTGAACTGCAAGGTCAGCAGTTCAAAACTACCAGCTGTTTCGTGGGAGAAAGATGAGGCTTTCTGCTTCCCATACAGCCTTGAAAACCCTGTACCAGGGTCGCTATGAGTCGGAACCGACTCCACAGCACATAACCACCATCCCCATTATAAACCCCAAATTCAAGGACATTGAAGTGACTTGCTTAAGGTCATAAAGGTAGTAATTAATGGAGCTGTAATTCCAACCCATTCCTGTCAGCAAGTCCTAGACTTGTAGCCTCTTGCATTGCACCCTACCTCCCAACTGAATCATGCTGCTATGTTTTTAAAAGTCACAGTAAGTTTTCAATTATTTTTTTTCTTCTTCTCCTTTTCACAGTGTAATTCTGTCCCTAGAGGTCAAACTGAATCTGCTGCATAGCTATATGAATGTGAAGTGGATCCCGCTGTCTTCTGATGCACAGGTAGACTTCACCCAGCCCTATCCTGTACATCTTCGATTTTGGTGGCAGGGAGAACAAGATCTGATGGTGTTCTGAATATGTGTTGAGTGGTGGCTTATAATTCAAGGTTATGCATAACTGGAAGGTATCACATAAGTTTCACAGGGTACTTTTTCCTGCCTTTCTGCCCTTTGTTGTTGTTAGGTGCCATCAAGTTGATCCCCACTCATAGCAACCCTGTATAGGGTTTCCAAGGAGCAGCCAGTGAGTTTGAACCACCAAACTTGTGGTTAGCAGTCCAATGTGTATCCTTCAGTGACACACCAGGACTTCCTTTAGTACCTTCTATTTCCCACATCTCCTTTCTGATATGAAAACATATTCTTAAAAGTTCCTGGACTTTTTTTTTATACATATATAAATTGAATGTCATCATTACTTTGACCTAAGTCCTCAGTAGGTAGACCTATATTGTGCAGAGGGCCATGGAATAGCTTAAAGGGCTCTTGATCCAGTGAGTTCTCAGGACACCATGATTATATGTAGAATAGGAACATAAAGGAAAGGCAAATTGATGGATTCCTGTGCTGAATGCATAAAAGTTGGGATGAAGAATGGCTAGACTTCATTGGTTTTAGTTAGTTAAGTCTTGCTTCAGGTTAATTTAGAGCAGAATTGGATAGAGAATTGTGTAACAAAGTACATTCTGTTGTTAGGTACTACTGTTGAATTGCTTCCAACACATAGTGACCCTGTATGTACAACAGAAAGAAACACTACTCGGTTCAGCATCATCCTCATAATTGTAATGTTTGAGCCCCTTGTTACGAACATTCTAGTGTCTATGAAATTGTTGTCCTCCTTACCCAGAGGCAATGTACTGGTTGCTCATTGTTCTAGAAGAGCAGTCAGACTTTGTCTTGATATTACCTTATTACACAAGGAAGTCAAGTTGAGGTGAGTGAGAGAAAATGTAGATATAAGATACATTTTCCCATGGCTCATGGGAGAGGTGACTGAAGGTGAGGAAGGACCATATCTTCCTGGAAATCCTTCTCTGGAGCTAGAGAGTCTTTCCAAGATTGGAATTCATAGGAGTGTTAACATGCCTCCTCCAAATGGATAATTCCCCATAACAGTGGCTGTAAGGAACTCCCTGAGCTAGATAGATGGGTTTTCCCTCAACCCAGACCAAGAGATAACTGACAACACTGTTCTTGCCTCTTCCAGGCTCCCCTGGCCCAGCCTGAATCCCCCACAGCTTCAGCTGGAGACGAGCCCCGGTCCACTCCTGAGTCTGGGGAATCAGACAAGGAATCAGTTGGCAGCAGTTCTACCAGCAATGAAAGCAACAGGCGGAAGGATAAGTCAAAGCGAGATCGGGAGAAGGACAAGAAGAGAGCAGATTCTGTGGCAAACAAACTGGGCAGCTTTGGCAAAACCTTGGGCAGCAAACTCAAGAAGAACATGGGAGGTCTAATGCACAGCAAGGGTTCTAAGCCTGGAGGGTTGGGAACGGGATCAGGGGTAAGCGGTGGCACTGAGACACTTGAGAAAAAGAAGAAAAACACACTGAAGAGCTGGAAATGTAACAAGGAGGAGGCAGCTGGGGATGGGCCCGTGTCTGAGAAACCCACATCAGAATCTATTGGTAATGGAGGGAACAAGTATAGCCAGGAGGTGATGCAAAGTCTGAGCATTATGAGGATTGCAATGCAGGGGGAGGGAAAGTTTATTTTTGTTGGAACCCTGAAGATGGGTCACCGCCACCAATATCAGGAGGAGATGATCCAGCGCTACCTTTCTGATGCTGAGGAAAGATTCCTGGCAGAGCAGAAGCAGAAGGACACAGAGAGGAAGATCATGAATGGAGGGGTAGGAAGTGGGCCTCCTCCAGCCAAAAAACCAGAACCAGATGGTGGGGAAGAGCTGCTGCCTGCCTCCCCAGCAGAGTCCAAGGCAACAGCATTCTCAACTGGCTACCCTGGGGGCTTTACTATCCCTCGGCCTTCTGGAGGTGGAATTCACTGCCAGGAACCCCGGAGGCAGTTGGCAGGGGGTCTGTGTGGGAGTAGCCTACCACCATATGCCACCTTCCCCAGACAGTGCCCTCCTGGGCGAACCTACTCACATCAGGACAGCAACCCTTCGCTGGAACCAAGCAGCCACCCCAAGGATGGCATTCACAGGGGTGCATTGTTACCTCCTCCCTTTCGCGTGGCTGATTCCTATAACAACGGCTACAGAGAGCCCCCTGAACCAGATGGATGGACTGGAGGTCCCCAGGGGCTTCCTCCAACCCAGACCAAATGTAAACAACCGAACTGCAGCTTCTATGGACACCCTGAGACAAACAACTTCTGCTCCTGCTGTTACAGGGAAGAACTGAGGAGGCGGGAACGTGAACCGGGTGGGGAACTGTTGGTGCACAGATTCTGAATGGGTGGAACCTTGGAGGGCAAAGGGGCTAAACAAGAAAGTTAAGGTTAACAAATTGGCTCATCAAGACCCAGGCCCCATGTTGATGGGGCAAACACAGTAATGTTTAGGGGAGCCTGGCTGGAAACTTAAGTGTGTGTGTTGGAGTGCTGCCAGGCTCACAAGAGCAGGTCAGGGCTGAATGGTGCCTCCAGGGCTAAACTTAATTTGATGGGATTAAGAAAGTACTAGGGGGAAAGATAGTGGTTCTGTCTCATAACCCATTGGATTCCACCTCAGGACCTAAGGGAAAGTACTAGGGGAAGGTATGGTGTGTGGGGTGGGCGGTGGGCTTAAGTCTGTGAGAGAAACAGGCAAAGGAGGTTCTCAGTCAATAAAGAAAAAATAGACCAAAGTTCTTTTAGGTGGGAAAAAAGCACATGGTGGTAGAGTTGGGAGGAAACTGGGAAGATTAGACAGGTCTGCTCTTGATTTGAATTTTGGTTGAAATTAGGTTGGATATTTTCCTCCTAGAGGATCTAGAAAAACCGAACAGTAATGTCTGCTCATGGGTGGTTATTAGGAACTGGGGGTAGTTTAAATCACAGTTTATTGAGTTGGGAGGGAGAGGAGCTTAAAGGGGGAATCCTTTTCCCCTGAAGTTTTATTTCCTCCTAAAAAATCATTTGTCATGTGCTCTAGTTTGAGAGGAGATCTGCTGCCTATCTTTTCCTTGTCCTTTTTAAGGGCTGAGCTCAGCTAAGAAGGTTGTTGTTTAAAAGGAAAAAAAAAAAAAAGTTCTCTCCAGGGAGTTAGAAGAGACTGATGAGAAAGACCAGCTATGTGTGTTGGATTTTCTCCAGGTGAATCAGTGATTTTTTTTTTTTTTTTTTTTTTTTAACTACTTAGCAATAAACATACTTTGGGAGTATAATTGCGCCTTGTGGGGGGTGGGGAGAATGGATAGATATCTGGCCAGACTGTTTCAAACAAAACCAAAAATTTAAATAGAGCACTACCATTTTCTGCTGCTGCTTTTCTGTAGAAAACAACCTATGGGCTAATTTTTTAAAGGAAAAGAAACCAACAAAAAGACCCCATCAAGCAAAAACATACCCACTTCCCACTCACCACGCCCCCATGTAGGTGATTGCTTCTCCTTACTCTCTCTACTTTTGGAGAAAGAATCTAACATCCCGGCTTCTTTTGTTAAGCCATAGCTGACCTTAATCTGTGGTTAGATTATTAAAATAATTTAAAAAATACTTTGTAAGAAGAGATATTTTTTATATTAGGACTGATGTTGAACCATGGGGTGGGGGCTAGGGACAATTTATAAAAAAGGTAGTTAGAGAAATATATTTTAGTGAACTATAACCACAGACCACAGATTACTCCCAGTAAACTGATCTGTCTAGATTTCTCCCTTCCCCTAACTCAACCCTTTTCTCCACTGGGTGGGAGTGGGGATGTGGACATATAGTGGGAGGGCGCTCCTTTGCATTTTGCACAAAGCACAAGTCTGGACAGCCTATGCTCTGACCAGAGCCATTTCTAAGAGCTTTAAACCAGAGGACCTAACCTGGGCCAATTTTCCATTTTCTTTATATTTTTCTGGAAAAATAAAACCAACTATGCAATTGTATACACTCCTGGGTGCATACAAAGAAGAGGAATAAGTGTACTTAAGTGTCCAGCGTATTGATTAGGAGTATATTTCTGTATTTGAATTTCTTTTAAGGTATATACTCATAACCCATCCCATGGACTGTAATCCCCACATTTAGTCTAAGGTAGATGAGACTGGGGGTAGGGTGGAGTGGGAAAGTGCACTCTTGTATTTGTTCTTTTTGCCTAATCAAGAAAGTTTTTATCCTATTTCCCCTTTGTTAACAGCCAGCCAAGACTGCCCTCTTCATTGGAACTGCTTACAGTGTGAAAAGGTTCCTTATTCCTCAACATATTAGGAAGTCATATACTTTCCACATCTGATGGTATATTGATGTATTCATTTCCTGTAGTTATTAAATCTTAGACCTTTATTTGAAACTAGATTGGTTTTAAGGATGCAGTGAGGTCAAAGGAGGGAAGTATATTTCTGGGTTTAGCTGATGAGATTAAGGTGAGCCCAGTGCTTTCTGCAGATGCAAAATTTAAAGAGATATCAATATAATACTGTAAAAAAATCATGTAAAAAATAAAACACAATGAACAAAATAGAAAAATTTACATAAAGATAGGATCCAAAGAGATTGTGAGGCTTAATCAAGCAAATATGATATCCTGCATCTAAAACTGGGTATTTCATTCATCAAATTTTTTCACATTCATCTTGATTTTATTTTTTAAGTATTGCATTAAAATAATATGAGGGGGCTTCAAGTAGTTCATGGGGAAAAAATGGAATGAAAAGGTAATGGAATTTTTCCGTGAACTTCTTGAAGCCCTCTCATATTTATTTTGATTACGAAGTGTTTGGCATTCCTTCAGTTTTGTGCTGATGGTGAGGAACTTGTTTACCTCTCCCTAGTACTGCCCATTTCTAGGATTAGCACACTGGTGAACCGCCACAGCCAGCCCACAACATACACAAAAACAACATAGCTCAAGCTCATACCGGAGACGGTGCCGCACAGCTCACCTGACTGCCCCTTAGTCCTCCATAACCTGGCCTGGACCAATAAGAATGGGAACACATCAGAGGTTCTCCCAGAAAATAAAACCAGGAAGATTTGTTTCTCCTCTGGACTGCTATGTTTGGATTTGATCTGTTAGTAGATTTTAGCTGATACTTTTGGTTTTAAAAAATGAGGTCAAATGAACAAAATCAGAAACTTGTATTATGTTTGTCTTTATAAATTAATCAATACCAATTCCTTTTGCCCTCTTCCAAGAGAAAAAAAAAGTTGAAATTCTGGGGAGTGGCTTAGGGGTTAATATGGTAAGAGGGCTTTAGACCTATAGTGTTTTATTAAATAAATTATTTTTTATTTGAAAAGGTAATTATTTATGGAAGCATTGAAACAAACCTTACCATTCTAAGGATGAGGGATCCAGAGACACAGGATATTTTTTACAGGGAAGGAGTGAAGTTTGTTTTGTTTTATTTTGCTTTACTCTTTGAAGTGGTTGGTTGGGTTGGGAGAAGTAAAGGAACAATGCCTTGGAAATTAAGACAGACTGGTATTTTCAGAGGATGAGGGGGTGGAAGAGCCAAACCCATGCAATTAACTCTTCTGTTGGGGAGAACAGAAAAAGAACAAATGGTATTAAAACAAGCAAAAATCCTTTAAGGGTGGATATTTGGGTGAAAGGGGGAGTTAGACCCTATAACCCTAGATGAGGGGGGTGATATATTTCATAATACTACATAAGTGCACTTAGTTCTTTTAATCCAGGGCATCTGGGGTACCTAGTGAGATTTGTAATGAAGAGATTTTCAGGCTGCTGCTTTTCCCCCTTTTGGTTTAAGGCAGTTCTAACCCATCCAACCTACATTCTCCATTCCACCTCTAATGGAGCAAGAATATTATAGAATAATGGGCTTCCAGTTTTCTTCCTTAACCCACACTATTGAAAGGTTTAATCAGTCTTACTGCTTTTATCAACAAAATATATAGTTTTTTCAAGCTCAGTCTATGATAGATAACTACAGGACCTGGAAGGGAAGTACCCCCTCTGTCTCCTGTTGGCTCAGTTTCTTCAAGTGAAACTCTAGCTCTGACCAATAAAACAAAAATTAGCAATGACTTCGTATTGTACATCTGGGGAATGGAGCTCGTTCAGAATAACATAAAACCTACTTTTGCCTACATTCTTCTCTCCTTTCTAAACAGTCCAAGGTTCCAGGCACATTTTTTTTCCCTTTCCTAGAAAAGAAGCACTTAAAAAGATGCTTGTCTCTGAGTTACTCAGATACCTCTGGACTCTGTCCTTTTCTTTCCCCAGAGCCCCCCAAGCATAGAGCCACAGGTGATAAGACAGTATTCGAAGCCCTGTCCTGGCCTGGAATCACCTACAACCATGATTTTTCTAATTTCCTCTTTCCCTCCAGGCCCTTCAACTGCAGATTCAGTGAGTCATACAAACACTCTCTGTGCAGATACCCAGTCTGCAAATCACAGGGTATTTTTCCCCCCTATACTTAGAGTAACAAAATATTTATTATGAAGTTCCCATATAGACTTTGTTCCTGCCACCGCCCTTTCTTGTCCACTTGGGTGCGTAGGGGGGTTGTTGGTAGGAAAGGAACCAAAGCAGGCCAACAACAGTAGCTGAGAGGAGTGGGGGTAGGGAGGATCTTGGCCTCTTTCTGTGCTTATAACTGAATCTGTGACTCATCTCGTGAGTCACTGAGATCCACCTCCCTCCTCCAGCTGCCCCTCCCAGCAGCCTTCACTCCTGGCACAAACCTGCAGCCAGACTGGGATTCTGAAAATGGAAAAATCTGAAACAACATCTTGCCTCTCCACCCTTAATTTCATCCACTAAGCTTCTGCTAGTGGGTGTGTCTTGAGGGGTGAGAGGCTGTCCTGTTACTTAACCCTCAGCTGCTGCCCCCTTTAGCATTCCTGGCTGGGTATTGATCCAAGTCACCCACTATTCCTCCCTCTGACTTTCCCCTGTCTTTTTTTTTTTTTTTTTTTTTTTCTGTATTCCTCTGATGCTCCCACACATCTTAAGTGTTTAAGAATAGAATGAGGCACTTCAATGAAAGGTGGTGGGGAGAAAGAATGTGGGTGAGATATAAAAATTATGGCACACACTTGATGCTCTTACTTGTTTTCTTATTGCAATAGGTCTTAGGAAGAATGTCCTTCCCCCAGAGGTTGAGGCCCATGGAATGTGAGGACAGGGAGGGAGTGGTGGTGGTGCTGGGGAACTTTTAGGACTTCTAGAATCAGGCTTCTGGGCCACTTTCCTAGCAGGTATATGCCTCTTAGTTTCAGGCAGAGTCCCTATCTCAATATCTTTACCATTCCATAGTTGTAGCCAAGACAAGAAACTTAAAGCTGAAGCAGGAAGGGTGTGTGTGCCTGTGGGAGGGAAAGTTGAGTGTCACTTTGGAAAATGGGGCCCCCACCTAAGGATTGTTGTTGCCTCTGTATGCACTCAAGAACAATAAAACAGCAGCTGATTTAACTTTTATTTTTCCTGGTCTTTTTTTTTTTTTTTTTTTTTAATGTCTAAATATAGATTTTTGCGTTGCTACTGCCAGTCCCCCTCAGCTGCAGTTCTTAGTGTTTACTCTTAGTGCTTCCATCCCCCACCCCCTATTCATCTTTGCTTCTTGAGTTGCAAGGAGGGGAAGGATGGGATTTTTGAGCTGAACAGAGGTTTCCAGCCCTCTGCTTTCAAAGCCTTAAACATGAATCATTAATTTGGAGATCTGGTGTCTGAGATGGAGGGGGAGGGGTCATGTACCTGAAAGGGGCTCTAGTTTCCAACTGGAGAGGGGTAGGGGAGAGAGTGCCTTTGTATGTATGTGTGAGAGAGAAAAAGGTGGGCAGGCAGGGTAAGCTCTTTTCCTGGGGCCTCCCACCACCACTTCCAAGATTTGCACCCATACACACCATTACTCTACACATTATTACTTGTATCTATGATGATGGAGGAGAATATTGAAAGTGCCATGGGCTGCCAAAAGAACAAACATCCGTGTTGGAAAAATCCTTGGAGGCCAGGATTGCCAAACTTCATCTCTCATACTTCAGACATATTGTCAGGAGGGACCAGTCTCTGGAGAAGGATATCATGTTTGGTAAGGTGGAGGATCAGAGAAAAAGAGGAAGACCCCCAATGAGATGGATTGGCCAGATGGCAGCATCATTGATGGACTCAAGTGTGGCAACAATAGTGACGTTGGCCCAGGATCGAGCAGTGCTTTGTTCTGCTGTGCATAGGGTTGCTATGATTCGGTACCGACTTGATGGCACTTAACAACAATAACAAATATTTCTTGAGTCCTGGTGTGGCGCTGTAAGATGACCATAGGACTACAAGGTTGGCTTGAACTTCAAGGTCGGCAGTTCAAATTCACCAGTCAGTCCTCAGAAACTCAGGGTCACTATGAGTTGGAACAGACTCTCCCGCACTTAACATATATCTTGAAGATATTTGTTTCTTTCCCTTCTCCACACCACCAGTCCCATGTGCTGTTTCATCCTCTGGAGAAGGATATACAGAAGTATTTAACCTGTCCCCTTCCAATTATTGGGCATCCCCTGAGGTACAATTTCTATTTCCTCTTTTCATCCATTTTTATAAGGTTTGTTGGGCGAGGCAGTTGTTAAGTGCCATGGAGTCGGTTCCAACTCATAGGGAGAATTTTTCTATACTCTTTCCCCTTTAAGATACAAAAGAGAACTGAGCTTTCTAGAAAAGTCATTACAGACTGTACAGAGAGGTATTCTAATTATCCCAGTTTAATCATTAGTATTACTGCTCCCATCAAACAGTCTACAGTGCTCCTGAACAGGAAAAGAATAGGATTTAGAGTTGAGGTAAAGAAAGGAGTCTGGGTTATTTTCTTCCGTTCCCCATTTCTCCCCCTACTTTTCTCAGGCTCCACACTTCCAAATGTGTGTATTCCCCTTTAAGGGGTTGGGCATCTCTCCCGCCCTCTCCAGAGCCAACTGGAGTTTCTGAGGAGCTTACGGCTGTCTGGACACAATTTCAAAAGACCCCCCCAGATTGTGCTCAGTCCACCTTTAATGCTCCTTTTCCTTGTGTCCTCCCCGGCTGCCTGCTCCTCAACTCCAAGATTCAGTCTCTTCCCAAATGGAATGAGCATCTTCAGGGTTTCCCACCCTTAACTGCTCCGTCCCCCGGATGGAGCCAGAGAAATGTGGTGGGGGGGCCGGGGCCAGAGTTTCAACATTGCCCCCCAGAAGGAGGAGCCAGATATGGGGGTAAGAAGAGGGCACTTGGGGGGAGAGGGGGATGAGTTGGTAAGAGGTTGTGAATGGGGTTGAGATAAAGAGGGGAGGAGGAGGGTGTGTCTGTCAAATTAACTTCTGGTGGAGCTTGGTCTGCTTTTTTCATGGTCTCAAGTTCATTATCTCATTATCCATTAACTAACCCCTCCCTTTACTGTCTGTCAACCTGTCTGAGTTCCCCATAGCCTTGGATCTCAGTTTCCCTGGAGTTTGAATGTAGGCCTCCAAAACCAGTTGCTGAGAAAAGAGCAGACCTGGGCTAAGAAGGCCTGGGGATTTACCCTATTCCATCCTCAGCACTCTGGACCAAAGTCTGAGCAAGCTAGCAAAATGCCAGAACCTACGAGTAGTCAGCTCAGCAGTTGCCTGGCCTCTGGATGTCTTCCAGGTAATAATACTCTTCCAATACTCCTGGATTTTCAAAGACACTTAAAATTTCATACTACCCAAACTTTTTTCAATACCTGTTTGCCTCTCCTGGCTGGAAGTGCTTCTGCTTAAGGCTTTCTTTCTTCTCTCTAGAGCTGGCTGGGAGCTTGGACCTATTTCTGTGTTCTTGACCTGTTACAACTTCTCTCACTTGTTCAATAAATATTTGAGTGCCTACTATGTGTTGTAGATGCTAAAGTTACAGAGGTAAAAAAGCACAAATTCTCTTTCCTAGTAAATTCCCTTTTTAGTAGAGTTGAATATCTTAATCTTCCCTCTTTAGATCCTCTGGTCTCAGAGGATACAAGTATGGGAACACTGGGAGTAGTCATTATCTGGCTTCCCCTCTTCCCATTAGGGGAGCATATCCAAGCATGGGCTCCAGGAGTAAGGAAGGGCTTGGAACCAGAATTACCTGGAAAACTGATCTGCACCAACTTGAGGGTCACCTTCCAGCCCTGTGGATGGCAGCGGAGTCAGGTGAGATAGTTAGGGCAATAGAAAGGGCAAGTAGTGGGAAATGGGCAGGAAGAATTTAGACATACACAGATAGGGTTACAGGTTAAGGGCTGTCTTTTGAATGTATGAGTCAAGAGGGACTGTCTCTAAGAAGGCTGGGGACTGCCAAGGTAGGAAAAAGGGATATTTCAGGTAATAGGTCTTTACCATCATTCATCTGCTTCCTCTAGGATACTCCCCTGAGCAGTGAGTATGATTTTGCCTTGGTCAACATCGAGCGATTAGAGGCTGGTAAGTGTGGGGGTTTGGTGAAGGGTATTGGAATCTCTCCTCATCCTTCTCTACTCTCAGAGGACATCTATGAATGAGGCAGAGTGAGTTGGAAGGGTTCCTTTTAGAGATCCTGATTCATGGTAACTCTTGACTTCAGTGAGTGGCCTGTCTAGAGTCCAGCTGCTCCGTCCAGGGTCCATGCTAAAATTTGTCCCTGAGGAGATCCTGATTCATGGCAGAGATTTCCGGCTGCTCAGAGTTGGTTTTGAAGCTGGAGGACTAGAACCTCAAGCCTTTCAGGTAAGAGGCCTGAAGCCTAGGGCTCCTTCTCCCCTTATGTCTTTGGGAATATCTCCTGTATAGCCCCAATATTTTACACCACTCCTACCCCACCCCCAGTATCCCCTTGTCTCTCTCCTCAGGAAGAGGCTAAAACCTGGGACATAAAGATAGTATAACAAGAGTTGTTGTTTAAGTGCCGTCCAGTTGGTTCTGATTCATAGCAACCCTGTATAGGCTTTCTGAGGAGCAGCTTCTGGGTTAGAACCACTGACCTTTCTGTTAGTGGTCAGTGCTCTAAGTCCAGTGCTTATCCTACAACACCTCAGCAGGACTCTGATAATGAGAGTAAGGGGCCCAATTTCTAGCGTGCTTTTGCAATGACCAGCAGTAACACTGTGGGCAAGTTTCCGTCTCTGAAAAATGTGGGGTGAATTTTGTGTAATTATTCCTAAGATTTCCCACAGAATTAACATTCTGTGATTCTAAATTTGTTTTCTTGACCTCGGCTCTGTGGAATCCCCCTTCTCTAGGGATGACTTCATAATTCTTTCCTATTAGTGAACTCTTTGTGTGGTTCTGTAGGATCAGCACTGGACTGCAAACCACAGGTTGGCAGTTCAAACACAACAGCTGCTCCTCAGAAACCCTACACAGGGTTGCTATTAGTTGGAACCAATTTGACAGCACTTAACAACATTAATGACAAAGGCAAGAGAGCAATACATGGGCCCCATTCCTTGTTTTCACTTCTTTAGACTAAGCTAAAAGTATAAGATGTCCTCTCCTCCATAGGTGACCACAGCCATTGTCCAAGCCAGAGCTCAGACCAGTCAAGCCCAACAGTATTCAGGGATAACTCTGAGAAAGGCTGGTGAGTGAGGGTGCTAAAGAAATAGGGAGTCTGAAAGAGCAGAGGCTGGCTGAAGACAAAACTCCTGAGGAGCTATTTCTGGCTCATCATATTCCTTTTCTGATCCTAATTCCTGCCCCAGGCCAGAGTTCTAGCCCTAGAAAACCACCTGTTCCCCTTTTGGAAACATCAGAAGACTGGGAGGCTGAGCGGAAGCAGCAGGGAGCCAGGGGCTGGAGGGTCAGCACTGTCAATGAGAGGTTCGACATAGCTACCAGGTGATCCCCCAGTCTACCCCAACCCCTGCTACCTTCCCAATCATCCCATCTCCTGATCCTCTAAAGCCAGACCTCTCCACAAATTCTAGTCTCCTAAAATATCCACAAAGCTATCCCCTTACTTTCTAGGCCTTTACACCTGAGATTCCTTAGAATGTCTCCTCCAAAGAAGCTTCCTTGTCATAACAGCTTTTGACTAAATGAAGTCACTGAGACAAGCAGTGACACAACTTAATTTCACAGCCTCCCCCGTTACTTCTGGGTCCCTAACCGAACTCTGGACAGTGAGGTCAGAAGAGCATTTGGTCACTTTCGTCAGAGCCGTGGACCGGTCAGTATGAGGGTTAGAGCAATGCCTGGAGATTAAAGGGTCATGAGAGGTCATAGGTCAGAGGGAAGGGAAAGATCCGTGTGAGGTCAGTGTTGGGGCAAGGGTAGGGACTGAAGTGAGTTTCTTCCACAATGATTTTTTTCTTACCCAATGAAAGCGCCTGTCCTGGCATCACCCTGGTGGCAGTGACCTTCTCCGCTGTGGAGGCTTTTATACAGCCAGTGACCCCAGCAGTGAGGACATCAGGTGAGGAGAAGTTTTAGGGAGGTATAAAGGGTTAAGTGTTCAGTGCAGACTCCTTCCTTTAATTTCGGACTCCTTCCCCTTCAGAGCAATGGAGTCCATGCTCCAGGCGGGGCATTCAGATGTTGTCCTGGTAGACACTATGGATGAGCTACCCAGTCTTACAGATGTCCAACTTGCCCACTTGAGGCTGAGGGCCCTCTGCCTGCCTGGTGAGAATGACCTTTGGCCCTGTACTGACCCAAACCTGGTTTATCTTTTATCTGGCTATAGATGAGTAAACCTTCAAGCCCAGTGATCCTTAGTTTTCTACTCATATAACTTCCATATCCTACAGACTTACTGATTTTGTCTTCTTGACCCTAGCTTACTATTTTTTACAGCTTTATTGACAACATTTATATACCATCAATTCACGCTTCACCTGCTTTAAGTGTGCAATTCAATTAATTTTATTATATAGTATTATACAACCATCACCACATCAGTCTAATTTTCAGGAACTTCAAAGTCATTTGTAATAGCTCCTCATCCCTACTGCAATCCCTAGGCAACTACTACCCAATTTATTTTTAACCCATTAGCTATAGACTCTGTATCCTGAACCCTGAGTTCTGATTTCTTTGTCCTTGTGACCTCTCTACTCTTTATCAGATTCATCTGTAGCTGAAGATAAATGGTTCTCATCTCTGGAAGGAACTCGATGGTTGGACTATGTCAGGTACTTACCCCTTCTGGTGGTGGTGATGTTGCGTTGAGTTGGTTCCAACTCCTAACAACCCTGTGAAGGGTTTCCAAGGTGGTACATCTTTACAGGAACAGAAGGCCTCATCTTTCTCCTTAGGAGTGACTGGTAGATTTGAACTGCTAACCTTGTGGTTTGCAGTCCACACTACCAGAGCTCCTTCCCTCTTTTTCTAACCATGATTTATATAATTTACTCCTCCCCTTCTGGGACTCCTTAGACTCCTAAATGACCTTCTATTAATTCTTCTCCTCAATCTCCCAAGATTGTTGCTCCTCAGAAGGGGGAGGATTTTGGAGTCTGTCTCTATTTCATCCCATGACCCATCACTGTTTTCCCCCAGGCTTATTATACGTCTGTTCCTCTAGGTCTTGTCTCCGAAAGGCCAGTGACATCTCAGTTTTAGTGACATCCAGAGTTCGCTCGGTAGTACTTCAAGGTGAGTTCTTCGTGTCATCCCATTCCTTGCCTTTTTCCTTTACCCACATGATTAGATTCTGCCCCAGGAACGTGGCCCATAAATCTCTTTCATCCCTTTCTAGTGCTAGCTTCCTTTTCTTCAGTTACTGGAAACTACCCATGAGCTCTCTCACCCTTCCATGCTACCTCTTCCTCCCCAATGTAGTTTGTGGTCCCTAATGTAGGATTCTTGCCCCTCTGCTCCCTGTCTTCAAACAGTATGTGGGGGGCTGAGGTTGGTGTGGGAAGGGCAATGCTGAAGCAGATTTGACAAATGGGACTCTGCCTCCTACAATGAAACTGGGTTATTCTACCCAAGTGGAGTCTATGAAATGAGTCATTCAAGATCTTTGTTTTCTCTTTACTTTTCTATGTGCCTTCTTAATCCCACCTACCCTCCAAATGCTTCCCTTCTGTGTCTTACTTCTCCTTTCCATGTTTCCTCTTCCCATTCTCTCCTGCCCTAGTTTCTTGGCTCTCTTCTTTGCCCCGTCTCCCTTTATCACCCAGAGTACGGTGATCGTGATCTCAATGGCCTCCTCTCTTCACTCGCCCAGCTGCTTTCAGCCTGTGAAGCCCGGACACTACTTGGCTTCCAATCCCTAGTACAACGAGAGTGGGTGGCAGCTGGACACCCCTTCCTGACTCGGCTTGGGGGAACTGGGGCCAATGAGGAGGTGAGAAGGATTGGGAGTGTATTGGAGGGTATTACTAAAAAAGGGATTAGATTAGAAAATTATATAGTATAATCCATTGTAGGATAATCTGGTCAGAGGGTCCTGAGATTAGGATGAGTTTAGAGACCAAAATGAGTGAGGTCCCACCCTCCCCTACTACCCTCAATTCAGATTTTCATTCCCTGACCTCCTTAGTGTTCCTGTTCCTATGTCCCACATTCTTATGTCCCCGCTCCCTCATCATTTTGTGATCCTCCTCCTCTATGTCTTAACCATCTCTTTTAACCTCTTAATTCCCCTTTTCAGGCCCCAGTGTTTCTCCTCTTCCTTGATTGTGTCTGGCAGCTCCTCCAGCAGTTTCCTGCTGAGTTTGAATTCTCGGAGTTTTTTCTTCTTGCTCTTCATGACAGCGTCAGGGTTCCTGACACCCTTACCTTTCTAAGAGATACTCCCTGGGAGCGTGGAAGGCAGAGTGGACAGGTCAGTGACCTCCATTTATGCCCCCCCCCCCCCCATTGAGAAGTATTCTCTCAAATTTATCCTTGATTTGTCTTATGGGTAGAGAAGTGAGGTCTTATTGGGATGGGGAGGGTAATGCTCATTCTCAGGACTGGAATTTTGCCTTACATTTGTAAGAGTAAGAGGTGAAAGGCTCATGACTATTTCTCTTTATATTTAGGTGCATTATATTTTTTGTTTGTTGATCCATCCTTTTTCTTGCTTTCTCTGTCCAGTTCAACTCCTATAAAGAAGTCTACACCCCCGGGTACTCCCAGCCTCCAGCTGGGAATGCTATTAACCAGCAGCTGTCTGTCTGGGATTGGGGTTTACGTTACAGCAATGAACAGATACTACAGTTCCATAACCCTGGCTATGACCCAGAGCACTGCCCAGATTCCTATCTCCCTAGACAGCAGGTGAGGTGTCTAAAATTCCTAAATTCCCTTAAATTTCCCACAGGTTCATCCCACTAAATGAAGAGAAGTGGGCAGATGCCATATTGTAGCGACCCCACTCCTTTTATGCAGCTGTCACTTACGGTCCTGATTGTCCACAGAGAAACAGAAACCTTAAAATAGCAAAGAAGGCATCATTTGTGCCCTTATCTCTGTTTATTAATTTTCCTGTCTTATGATTTTACAGGTTTCCTTAAATTAATTTCAGTCAGTCCTGAAGCCTAGTTTGAATCCTAATGAGAGTAGAGTTCTCAAGGAAGGGCCTATAGTTCCAATCACTAATGCAGTAGCAGTTGATATCTCTTCCTGGTCCAACTTGGGAAAACCTGGTCCAACTTGGGTTTGGTTGTGTGTTGCAAATTAATTTCTCTTTCCCCACAGTCAAGCTTCATGGTTCCTGGACCCCCCAGTTCTTTGTGGCTCTTCTCTAGAGGAGCTCTGACTCCCCTAAATCAGCTCTGTCCTTGGCGGGACAGTCCTTCCCTGCTGGCAGTCTCTTCTCGCTGGCTTTCTCGACCTGCCATCTCCACTGAAAGTCTGGCTGACCAGGAGTGGGGACTCCCCTCACATTGGGGGGCTTGCCCTTTACCCCCAGGTCTCCTGCTGCCTGGATATCTGGGACCCCAGATCAGGCTCTGGAGACGCTGCTACCTGAGAGGACGGCCTGAGGTCCAGGTGAGAAAGGAAGTCAGAGATTGGGAGAGGGAGAAAGGGCTTGACTGCAGAAACAGATAAATGGAAGTTGGAATGGCAAGGGGGTGGGGCTGGAAGGTAAAGTATTATCAAACTGGGTATGTTTGAGAGGGTGGGGAAACTATTTGTGGTTTAGATCAAGTGGAGCCAAGGGCAGTTGGAGGGAGAAAGAGAATTAGATAGTGGAAATAGTGGCTCTTAGAAGCAGAGGGCTAAAACTGCAATAATATTCCTCTTTGCCCCATCCCCAGATAGGCCTGTCAGCTCCCACAATCTCTGGCCTCCAAGATGAGCTATCCCATCTTCAAGAACTATTAAGGAAATGGACACCAAGACGGTCTCCTGAGGACTACTCCAAGAAAAGAGACCCAAATAACATTCTCTCGCAACCCTGCTGAAACTACTGGCATTGTCACAGACAGGGCAGAGACTAGTCTGGGTTGGGGGAAGGTTCTGTCTAATCCTGAGTTTTCTTCTAACTGGTTTTGCTGCCTCAGCTTCTACACTCCAGCCTTTATACAAATTGACTCGAGACTTGAGTTTCCATTGCAGGCGGGTGATGCTAGCCTTCCCTAACTCTTGTTCTGTATATTTTGGCTCCTGGAGATACTTTTTAAATTTGTTTCTTGTGGTTTAAAGAATCAGGAAATAAAAAGCATCTATAATATTACCTTCATTTTCTTCAGGACAATGCCACCTCTCTTGGATTGTGCGATCAGATGCTGGTCATCATCCCAACAAGATGGCCTAGAGACCCCATTCTTACCTCTCTTGCAGTTGCTTTAATTCCAATGCATACGTCTTATAGTTTTCCATGAGAATGGGGTGGATATGGGAGAGATCCTGCCTCTTCCAACTGTATATTTTTGCAATGACATTTCTATTTAAGCGGTTCATTAAAGCACGGTATTTATACGCTATTGACGTTGTTTCTTGTGTTTAAATAGAGAACCCTGGGTAGCAGAGTGCTGAGTGGGTGTGGTTCGAGAGAGTATTATTATTGATGATGATATAAAATGAAACCCTTTCCCAAATTACATATGAATTCTGAAGGGCCTCACCGGACCCCATTCTCTTGTAATTTGGGAAGGGGGTTCATTTCTCTGTGCCTCCACTTTAGGGAAATGTCAACAGTTCTTGTTGGGGGTTGCTGTTCGGTAGGTCGAGACAAGTCCCGGTCCCAGCCACCCCTCAGCTTTGGTGTCCCGTCATTACCCAAACGGTAACGACTAGCCAAGCTCCGACGTCACCCCTAGCTCAGACAGACATTCCGCAATCCCCTCCCTGGCGGAAAAATAAAATACCTCAAACCCAGGCGGGAGCCGTGAGGCCGAGTCAGAGAGAACAGAGAGAAGGCTGCCGGCTGAGGTTGCAAGGCCAAGTCCTTGGGAGGGGAGGTTCCTCAGCACTCTTTTCTGAAGGGAAAAAGCAATCGACTGGTTATAAAATGTATGAAAAGTAGTATTGCTTTTCGTTTTCAACTTTACATTTTTGGAAGCTATTTAAATCTTCCACGTCTGGAGCTGCCTCATAGGCTCCACCCTCCCAGCTGTAGCCGCTAGCTGCTGCCTCTAAGAGCAAGTCCCAGAAAGCCCGCGCCAAATTTTAGCGTCAACTAACACGGCCCGAGCCGCTTCCGGCTCCTCCACTCCCCTCCCCCCATACACACATCCGACAGCTACCTCTGCCCCGGAAGTTAAAATCGCGACTGAGGTCAGAGGGCGGAGCCGCTGCTTGGAGACGGCGGGTACTCCTTCGCCATGGCGGCCGGGCCCATTTCTGAGCGGAATCAGGGTAACTACAGAGGATGAACCTGAAATGGGCATTGGGGGATCCTGACTAGAGCCGGCAGAGTCGATGCCAGGGCGAATGACTGGATCTCTTCGGAGACCGCGGGACTGGCCGTTGTACCTTCTGGGGGCGGGGTGGCGGGGTGGCCGGGTGCCCGTAGGGGCCTGTAGGTGTGATCCCTTCTAATGTCCAATCCTCTGCTGCCGTGCCTTTCAACAACAAAAAAAAAGTCCACGGAGAAAGCGTTTTCAATAGAACACGATGTTGGACTTTAGAAAATTCTGAGTTCCTGGAGAGAGGGAGGTTTAAAGACTGGATCTAGCATCTTATCTCCTTTTTTTTTTTTTTTCTGTTATCACCTAAACGTATCCCGAATTACTTTAGCCTGAATTTCATTTTCATCTTCCTGTCACCTTTTCCTGTTATGTTCTCACACCTGTCCTAACTTTCTCCACTCTCCCTGCAGATGCTACTGTGTACGTGGGGGGCCTGGATGAGAAGGTTAGCGAACCTTTGCTATGGGAGCTGTTTCTCCAAGCAGGGCCAGTAGTCAACACCCACATGCCCAAGGACAGAGTCACGGGACAGCACCAAGGTGAGTACAGAGCAAGAGATGCACCAGTGTTTTTAGGGGACAACTTGTCCTGCAGAGTCCAATCATATTCACACTAATTCCGTAATAAACAGTCTAAAGAATCCTTTTGTGCTTCAGCTCCCAATATAAGGAACCATTCTCATTGAAGTAACTTTTTTATTTCTTTCTTGTTTGTGGTTTGATGGGTGTGTGGGGGGGAGTTAAGATTTAACTCATTTTGAATCTTGTAGCTTCATTTGTTAACCTTTCCTTCTCCACTTCCCTAGGCTATGGCTTTGTGGAATTCTTGAGTGAGGAAGATGCTGACTATGCCATTAAGATCATGAACATGATCAAACTCTATGGGAAACCAATACGAGTGAACAAGGCATCAGCTCACAACAAAAACCTGGATGTGGGGGCCAACATTTTCATTGGGAATCTGGACCCAGAGATTGATGAGAAGCTGCTTTATGATACTTTCAGCGCATTTGGGGTCATCTTGCAAACCCCCAAGATTATGCGGGACCCTGACACAGGCAACTCCAAGGGTTATGCTTTTATTAATTTTGCTTCGTTTGATGCTTCCGATGCAGCAATTGAGGCCATGAATGGGCAGTACCTCTGTAACCGCCCTATCACTGTGTCCTATGCCTTTAAAAAGGACTCTAAGGGTGAACGCCATGGCTCAGCAGCTGAACGACTTCTGGCAGCCCAGAACCCACTCTCGCAGGCTGACCGCCCTCACCAGCTGTTTGCAGATGCATCCCCCTCCCACCCTCTGCTCCAAATCCTGTGGTATCATCACTGGGGTCTGGGCTTCCTCCACCAGGTAAAGCTTTTGAATCAAAGAATATTTGAATAGGTTTGGGAGGAGGGGGGAGGAGCAAGGAGAAGAACTGAAAGAGGGGGACAATGAGTCAGTGGGTGGCAAGAAGGGGCTTGCTTGAAGTTGAAGTTTGATGGGGAAAGAAAATTGTTGGGTTTCTCCCGGAGAGGGAGTTGTTTGAGGTTTTGGCTTTAGAGAGCTGGCAAAGTAGGGGAAAGCTCATCCTTCTTGAAGAGACCTGATGAGGACAAATTCTTTAAAGATAACTATTCCCACTACCATGAACTGTTTCTTCTGTAGGTATGCCTCCTCCTGGCTCCTTCCCACCCCCAGTGCCACCTCCTGGAGCCCTCCCACCTGGTATACCTCCAGCCATGCCTCCACCACCTATGCCTCCTGGAGCTGGAGGACATGGCCCTCCATCAGCAGGAACCCCTGGGGCTGGACATCCTGGACATGGACACTCACATCCCCACCCATTCCCACCAGGTGGGATGCCCCATCCAGGTAGGTGTTCTTTGCTAGGAAAAAGAGGGATGAGCTTGGTAGAGGGGCTTTGTTATCACTTCTGCTGCTGCCCTTTGTCCCTCAACATGGATAGCTCTAGAGCTCTCCTTTCCTTCAGATAGTCTTTTGAATACACAAAACCAAAATACTTTATTCTTCTTAACCATAACATCTACTATCCTGTTACCATTTTTTAGTTGTTTTTAAGTGCCACCGAGTTAGTTCCCACTCATAGCAACCCTGTATAGGGTTTCTGAGGAGTGACTGGTGAGCTTGAACCACTGACCTTGCAGTCCAGCGCATTAGCCTGCAGCACCACTACACTTGCAGCCTTTTTGGTTGTTTCTGTAACTTTTTACTTCTATTCTCTCCTTGGATTTCCACTCCAAAAGTGACCTAACCTAGAGGACACTTCTTTTCTGCTTGACCTCTATTGTACTTGAAACTGGCCATGTTCTTCTATTTGAAATCCTTGTGTCTTTCGGCTTTTGTTTCTCCTCAACCCTGTCTCTGACTCCTCAATCTCAACCTCCATCATAGGCTCCTTTTTCTTTGTACCTAAGTATTTGTGGTTAGTTTTCTCCATATTTTTCATTATTAACTGATACTTTCTACATCGGTATTAAATCCATTGTCATTGACATTCCAGACCCATACTTTTTTAATGGACAGCTCTGCTTTGTTATGTCTTTGGCCCCTGAAACCAAACATAACTAAAAATAGACTTATTTTCTACTCCTTCCCTTTAATCTTCTTTTTCCTGTAATATTCTTTGTTTTCAGATGCTTAATTTAAAAATCTGGGAGCTGTATTTGAACCTTGCCTGTTAGCGTTATCTTAATAAATATTAAGTCTACTTAATATCTCTGGCATCCAACACATTGCCAGTGCTTGCTTCAGGGCCTCATTCCTTATTTCAGACCTAATTTACCTAATCTATGAGGTCACTTCGATTCCAATTTTTTCTGCGTTTTGTCTGTGTTTCACAGACTAACATATGTAAAACACAGGTGTTCACATACTCCTACTCAAAGTTATTTTGTTTTTCTCTTTTACCTGTAGAGTAAAATCTAAACTCATTATCATAACATTCAAGGTTTTCATGATCTGCACCCTACTCTTGCATGACACTCCTGACCACTGAGTTACTTGACATTTCCTGAAACATGAAATTGTTAGAAACAATCTGTGCTTTGTATATGTTAATCTTTCTTCCTAGAATGGAGTGATCTAGTCCCACTCTTTTCAACTGCCTGAAAAATTCTTATTCTCATCACCGTTACAGGTTACAGATGTTGTTGTTAATTACCGTGGAGTCAGTTCTGATAGCGACCCTGTACAGGGTTTCCGAGGCTGTAAATCTTTACAGGAGCAGAACGCCTCATCTTTCTCCCGTGGAACAGCGGGTAGTTTTCGAACTGCTGACCTTGAGGTTGGCAGTCTGATTCATAACCAATAAACATTTCATTTATTTGTACCATTGGAATGAGGTCAAAGAGGCAGTTTTTACCACCCGTATTTTTTCCTACCTTTCTTTTCCTAATGCTGCTTCCTTTGTCTGTTTTGTTCGCTTCTCCATTTTCTTTACCTTTGTCCCTTTTGTCTTCTTATATCTATTTTATACTTATAGGAATGTCTCAGATGCAGCTGGCCCACCATGGCCCTCATGGCTTAGGACATCCCCATGCCGGACCCCCAGGCTCTGGAGGACAGCCACCACCCCGACCGCCACCAGGAATGCCTCATCCTGGACCTCCTCCGATGGGCATGCCACCCCGAGGACCTCCGTTCGGGTCACCCATGGGTGAGTGTGGGTTCTAACCATCTTCCTCATCTTCATCCTACATTCTTGCAGCTTCCTTTGTCACGTGCCTTACCTTTTTTTTTTTTTTTTAACTTCTTCCATTTCTTTTCACTGTTTTTTTGTGTGTCTTCTCTGCCACAAATTTCCCAAAGTCAGCTGTCTCTTGTTTCTTATTTTTATGAATTTTTTTCTCTTCCTACAGGTCACCCAGGTCCTATGCCCCCACATGGCATGCGAGGACCTCCTCCACTGATGCCCCCTCATGGATACACTGGTCCTCCACGGCCTCCACCCTATGGCTACCAGCGGGGGCCCCTCCCTCCACCCAGACCCACTCCCCGGCCTCCAGTTCCCCCTCGGGGCCCACTTCGGGGCCCTCTTCCTCAGTAAATTCTCACCCTCCTTCTTCCTGTTACATCTTTCCAATATCTTTTCGATTCCTTGGACCAATCAGAGTTGCTGTAGCTCCCTGGGGCTGAGGCAGTAATTCTTCTCAGGCTTTTTTAAAAGTAATTTTTCCCACAGGAGGTTTTTTTCTTTTTTACCTGTTGGTCCCAAGTGTTTTGCAAGTGCATAGAGAAAATAAAACTAAACTTTTTTTCTTTGTGGTGTCTTTTCTTGGCAAAGCAATTTTCTTTCTCTAAGAAGAGATGTCGTATATTGAGAGGAATGTGAAGGTAGAGGTTGAAAGCAGAGGCATATCTCGGGGAAACAGTACTTATGAAATGGAGCTCCTTTGCAAACAACTGACATCCTCTCCCTCCCCTCTCCATCCTAAGTATCCTAAGTATTTAGCATCATCATGCACCTTAGACTATTAACCTTAACAATCAGTGGGACCAGGTGGGAAAAGGAGGCTAAACTGGAGAGGGAGGCAGCCGGAGATAAAAAGCCCTGAAGTCAGGAAAGGGCTCTCAAATAGGAAAGTATGAGTTTTAACTTGCTGGATGATTTCTACTGGTCATGGTTAATAGAAACTGCTCAGTGGCAATCCCTCCTTCAAGTGGTGCCACAGCTGCTGCAATACCTTAGATAAGCCTCTGACCATGAGAATGTTTACCTCTCATTTAGAGGCTTATTCTGTAATGTGCTGTTGCAATTGCTACACTCACTGTGCACTAGATTGTTTTCTTATAATGAGCTTATATTGTTTATTTATAAGGTGGGAACCCAGTATCTGGAATCAGATTGTTATGTTAAGTGAAATATACCTCTTTGGTGTATGTAACCACGAGCCTTCCTAAACTCTAGCCCAAAATAGAAAACCTTGGTCTACCATTACTCTCTTGCATCAAATATTCATTTGACATTTTTCTAGTATCTACAGAGGCTCTGTGCTATGGTGGCTAAGGGGATACAAAGGTAAGCAAGGTAGTTCCACTATTAGGGAAGTCATTACCAAGGGGGTAGACTGACATGGAAAAGATTGTTACACAAACATTGGGAGAGGATGAGAGGATATAATGTCAAGAAAAATCTAAGAAAAATTCCTGGGAAAAAGATGATAGCTATTTTAATCTTCAAGGAAAGGCCAATGTTTCCTAAGCAAAGATAAACCTATTACTGTCAAGTTGGTTCTGTCCCAATGGCAATAGAACAGAGTGAGTAGAACTGTCCTGTAGGTTTCAAGAATAAACTTTACAGAAACACTGCATGTGTGTTTGAACCATCCTTTTGGTTAGTGCTAACAGGGCTTCTTTGGCAAAGATGAAGGGGAAACTTACTCCTGGTGGATAGAATATTTCTGAGCAAAAGTGGAGAGTCAATAAATTTGAGTTTAAGTAAAAAAGTATTGCTATAAAATCAGAAAATTTTATTAAGCAAAACTGTAAAAATATGAAGCTGTTTCTCAACATATCTTCATTTATGTCTAGGTTCTTAGCCCCACGTTTTTGTTTTTGTTTTTTTAAACATTGTGAATTACAGAGCTGAGTATCAGTTTTACATTCAACAGTTCACATACAATTTCATCTCTGATGGCAATTCTATCAATGTAACATCACAGCAATTTTCTGTGTTTCCTTTTTCCATTCCTCCTTTCATAGCACTTCTGAACTTTTTCCTTGGGTAAAGTCTGCCCTTTTGATCTTAAGTAGTTGATTATTCATTCTAAGGTGTGCACACCTTGCTACTATTATTGTTTCTCTTATATACCTGTTGCTTGGCAGAAATTGAACCATGGGAGTGAGTTAAGTATCCAACCAGTAAGCCTGGTCTCAGGAATTTTAAGTTTTGTTTCATATTTTCTCCCACTCTATCCAGAACCTTCTAATGTGATTCCTTTCAGAGTAGTTGGTAGTGATAACCAGGTATCATTTAGTTCTGATTTAGAGGTCATGAAGACTTGTTTATGTTGTGGTTTTAATAGTCCATTGAACTAATTGTTTCCATTTTTTATCATTTATTTCCTCCAGACAGGGAAGGATCAATAGTTCTACCTTAAGTCGTTTTTAAAACACCAGTCACTATTCACCAAAGTAGGATATAGAACATTGTCTTTGTAGACTAGGTTAGCCCCAAGACCATGGTCCTGAGCTCTGAGGCTCAGTGACTCATTCCCTCAAAATGTTTGTCTAAAAAGTTTTCATAACTTTGCCCCCTGTAAGCTCCAGCACATGGATATACAGCCATGTACAGGCACACTTTGTCAAGCCTACCTATATATATTTGTGGGTATACTCCTACTCTCTATCTCACACCCATTCAGCCTGTGTGTCTGTGGCGGTGGTGGTATGCCATGGATTGGTTCCAACTCAGCGACCCTGCATAGGGTTTCCAAGGCTGTAAATCTTTATGGAAGCAGAAAGCCTCATCTTTCTCCTGTGGAACAGCTGGTAGTTTTGAATTGCTGACCTGAGGTTAGCAGCTGGACTAGTAATCACTGTGCTACCAGTGCTCCCGTATTGCAGGATTGTGGATATAGTAGTATTTACTTCGAGTGCTTTGACTCTCGTACTCCTCATGTTTTCCCCTGCTTCTGTCATTTTTTGCCAACCTCCCTCTTAAATTTCTTCCCAAGTTTAAATCAATCTGTTCTATTTTGAAATCTACTTGACTTTCTTATTTGAAATTTCTGTGTCTTCACTGCTTATTTGTATCTCTGGCTCCTATTTTCAATTTTGCAAGTTTGTTTTACTTTGGATACTTCCATATCTGGGTTGACTTCTTGGTGGTGGTGTCATGTATGTTATTTTCAAATTGTTGGTTCTCTCTCCGAAGAGCTCCCTTTAGTATTTTGTGTTAGGTTGGTTTGGTTTATACAAATTCCTTTCATTTCTGTTTATCTGGAAATGTCCTAATTTTACTGTTATGTTTGACAGTTTTTTTTCTTTCATCTCATTGCCTTCTTGCTTGCATGGCTTCTGCTGAGAAAATCAGCTTGGTCTCCTTTGTAGGTAATGTGTGTTTTCCTTGAGCTGACCTCAGGATTCTTTCCTAGTCTTTGGTTTGGGATAGTTTGATTATAATATGTCTTGGTGATTGTCTTTTGGGACCCATTTGGAGCTCATTCAATTTCTTGAATGCATCTCATCCATCTTACATGATGTTAGGAAATTTTCTTCCAGCAACATTCAACAGTTTTCTATCAACTTTTCTGTCTCTTCCTGTTCTGGAATTCCAATTGCATGTAAGTTATTCCTCTTGATGGTGTCCCACATAATTCTCAGGCTTTCTTTGAATTTTATTTATTTATTTTTTTCAGATTGTTCCTTTTAGCAGATTGTTGTTAAGTGCTGTTGAGTCAGTTCTGACTCATATTGACCCTGTATAGGGTTTCTGAAGAGTGACTGGTATATTTGAATTGCTGACTTGTGGTTAGCAGTCCAATGCTTATCCTACGGCACCACACCAGGACTCCTTAGCAGATCAGTATTGAGAAATTTGTCTTCAAGATCACTAATTCAGTTTTCCATTTATTCAATTCTACTCCTTTGTTCAGTGTATTATCTCTTGCTTAAATCTTAGTATTAATCTTTGGGATTTCTGTTTGCTATTTTTGTATGGTTTATATATTTTTTCATTTATTTTATTGGTTTGTTCAAGAATTTTCCTGATTCTTCTAAAGTTTTTTTCTGTGTTCTTGCCTTCATTCTCAACTTTCTTGATTTTTCTCCCAATCTGTTGAAAGTTCCTAAATATCATTCTTTTGAATTTCTTATCAGGTAGTTTCCCACGCCATTTCTTCCTCAAAATGTTTTTTCTGGCTCTGTATTTTGGTCACATTTGTCTGAGCTACTCTGTCTTGTTTCTTCATGTGAAATAAAATTGTTATCTCAAAACACTGTGTTAATGTTGTTGTTGTATTTAATTGGTGTTTGTATGTTGGTGTGTTCTTAAGCACTCACCATGTGTCTCCTGGTGGTTGTGATAGAAAATATGAGTGTGCACAATTTGTTCTTCATGTAGCAAAGTTTAGGCAGAGTTTAACTCGTGTTGCATGCTGTCTATCAATGACCAGGTGGTACAGGAGTGGGTATTGGCTGTCTCCTAGGAGGTGGAGCTGTAGAAGGTATGGGTGTGGCTGGACTGTGGGCACACAGTCTCTCATTAGGTGGGGCAAAAAGAAAAAAGCAAGAACAGTGAGCAAAAAAGTATTAAAAACAAGTGGTAGAAAAAAAAAGGACTAAAAAAGGGAAATAAAGATAAAGAAAACAAAAAAAAGATAAAGAAAAACAGAAAAATTAGGGAGGGTGGGCGAGAAATAATTGCAAAAAAGATTAGAGACAAAATTTGAAAGGAAAAGAAATGAATGAAAAAAAGAGAAAAGATACGAAAGGAAAATGAAAGTAGGGGGGAACAACAAAGGAGAAAACTGGAATTAGGGCATCTGAAATGGGTCATAACTCTGCCAGTCAAAGAATTTATGGGGTAGGGTGAGGAGATGGGATTCCTGATCTGGAAGCAGTTTATGCTGGCTCAGAAAGTGACTGATATCAAGGTGTTTATTCCCAGAAGGAATACTTTGGGGCCCAGAGGGCAGCTGGGCGCAGGGTGGCTGATTATGGAAGGAGTTTCTGCCCACTGGGAAACAGCACTTAGACTTCTCTGATCCGATGAGGTAGAGTTCAGGTTCTCCCAGACCTGGGGATTTTGAAGGGGGTACCTTGTGCCATATCCACAAGGACATAGATCTGACCTTAGACAGAGCTGGGGCTTTGCAGAATAGGAGGTGTCATTAGCTGCTGGGTGAGTGAGGGTGGGTGAGGATGGTGGCTGACCAAGCTTATGGTCAACAAGAGGCTATGGAGAACAAAACAGAATTTCACCTTTCTTACTGTCAGCCACTGGTGTACATTTGTGTTGTCAGACAACTGTCACAATGGAATGCTGCTTGCAAACATTCAAGACGACTATGCCACATCAGTTAGGTCTATACACTTTAAAAAAAAAATGCTTTATTGTGAATTATGTGATAGTTTACATGGGAGAACATTAGCTTTACATTCATCCTGTCTATCATTTCATTGCCATGGTTACAATCCCCTCCATGCATCATCAACCAACCAAAGGGTATACCCTGCAAGCCTGCCCCCCTCTCGTCAACACACAGCCCCTCTCTCTCTCTGGGTCTAGAGTCCCCAGACACTCCATCTCTCCACA